TTTAGAGTTAGAGTGAGTTAAGCTCCTGGTCGATAACTCGATAACTTCGTACTTGGTAAAACTGTGAATTCTTTTAAAGTAAAGTATTCGGATTCGGATTATGGGGCCAGTTAGAGAATAATAAGAATTCCTGAAGTTCGGAAATAGTCTCGAGCAGCTCTTCCTTGCTCTTGTTCTAGCTCCTTGGACTTATCTGCTTTATAGCAGCTAGTCCCCTTTTCCTTACTTTACTAAGGGGGGTCACATCACTCGCGGACGAGGGAAAAAAGTGTGATTTATTGGACCCGGGCATATTTATATCTCCATCTCCGAAGAGAAGAGCTTGCCCTATTGGAAATGTGGATCGATATTTCTACTCTTACTTCGAGACCGCAGCAGACCCCTTAGCCTAGCCTAGCAGACCTCTGAACCCTAGCACTAGTACGAGACCGAAGCGCAGGACCCCAAGCCAACCAAACCACCTTTGCCAGGCCACTCTCTAGAGCAAATTCTAGCCAATTTAGAGACTATTTCCGATCCCAAGCCTACAGATTCGAAACCTCCTTCTTCTGCGGATGTGGATTTGCTTTCTTGTGCAGCTGATCCAGCAAAATCTCACTCCTCTCCTTACTTTATTCGATAGGGGCGAGCAAGCTATTCTTCTTTGGCCTCTCGTTGAAAAGCAAAACTTATCTAGAGTAGAAGGCATATCCTGGATCGACTAAGCCGGAAAGGAGTCAGTATTTACTTTCACGACTATCAAGCCAGGAATGAGCTGAGATATCGGAGTTTCAATCAAATGAAGGATGCGATCCCGTAATAAGTGTTGGAGGGAAAGAAAGCATTCTCAGAAGGAGTGAAGCTCGGAACTGTGAGTTGAACTCTTGCCCGGGGATGCTCCCAATCGTTAATCCTCGGATGTGATCCAAAGGGATAACCAACCTCAACCGAATAAGCCGAAACCGTAGAAGAAGAAAGGGCAGAAAGCGAAACTGCTAGATCAGATGTTCCAGTTGTCGAGGAAAGCTTCTTCTTTACTTTAGAGGGGAGGGAAACTCTCTTTTCTTCGCTTCTTTGATAGGTGTCTTAGCAGAAAGCTGAATTGATTGTGATTGACGTAGCTTCTTTCCTCAATTAACTTCTTTCTTACGAGATTACATCACATCTCTTTCGACTCTCTTCACTCCCTTCACCTCCTTTCACAGAGGGGAAAGTCTGACTCTTCCTGTCGAGGCAGAAGCCTTTCCTTTCGTGTCCTTTATCAAGCAAGGGAGGACTGACAAAAGAACCTCAACAGACTCGGGATCAGGATCCGATGCAACTCTATGTCGAGCGACTTTATCCCCTGGTCGAGTGACCCATTACGTTAGAAGGCCTCTCGCTCCTGGCTTTTCTTTATGGATAGATCTTGACTTTTGTGAAAGAAGCCCACATCCCCACTCTTCTTTCCCCCTCCCTTCAAAGGGAGGGCCTCGCCGTCTAAGGTAAGGCTACATTATCTTTATTCTTACATCCCCTAGCCCTATGTGCTGAGGCAAAGTTAAGGATACCATGAGGTACGGCCAATCCTATTGAATCGTCTCAAGCGGACCCTACCGATGGAGGAAAGACTGTAGTTCCTGCTTCACCAGTTCTTCGATGTCCTTGAAAATGATAAATAAGAAGTCAAAAGAGCAGCAAGAGGGATAATAAACAGAAAGCGGAAGCAGTGCTAAAATAGGATGAGAGCTTGTCTCAGCAAGTGGTATTTTCGACGAGATTTCGAAAGAGAAGTCTCATTCGGAGTGTGCCCGGAAACTCTTCGCGAAGTACCAACGCTTGGCTTGGCGCTTCGTAATCAATATACAATAGTTGACCATCACGTATGGGTGAACCATTTCTTCAAGGGTGAAATTGAGAGACAGGCCCCACAGCCTAATAGAGCCAAGAAGAAAGGTATGTCAGAGACGGCCAACTTCCATCACAAGTCCAGCGGCAAAATATGCTGGAGAAGAAAAAGTCCTTGCCTTGCTGCTGGTTACTGAAGCCCGACTCCGCTCCGGAATTCTCAAGTGAGACGACTTAGCCGCATTCTTGGCTCTCTGGTTGAGCCGCTTTGTCCTTCCGAACAACCGCAGCAACGTCATTCGCCCGGAAACATTCGTCATGGCCGGGTTCTTGGTGCAGGGAAAGAGAGTAGCCATAGCTCCGGCCTTGCCAGCATTTATTAAAATGTAAAAAAGTCAAGGGAGCCAATAATCTGTGAAGAACTTAGTGCTTGTTTTGATTCTTTAAGACAATCTTATATGGAGGATCTCTAGCCCGAGGATTGATGTATTCAAAAGACATCCCTAGCCTAAGAGCCTGTACTACTCACAACCAGCTTAATTATAGCCGTTGCTAGTATAACACTAGAGATGTATAGCGCTATTTTACTACTATCTTTATATACTGGATTAGCAATGGCAGATTCTTTAGTTGCTAGTTCCTCAAGGACTTCTCGTGCCTCCCTATTCCCATCGCCTTTTTTTGTTTAAGGGCTGCTCGCTTCGACAATCTGATCCCCCATACTAGACGCAGAATACATACTTGACGTACTAGACGTAGAATCCATAGTGACCTGCATTGCTTCTAATAAATTCATATTTTCAATGAGTCTTTCAAGACAGCTCTGTATTTCATAGGTAGAGGTTTGGTTCCAAAGAAGATATCCTATCAATATTGGAGGAAGGAATTGGTTTAAAATACCACATAGATGTAAATTGAATAATTCACCCCTGCTCATTTTACCTAGGCTAACCTTTCTTTCGCTGGGTGAAAACTGCTTTTTTAGCTTTGGCCTACTAAAGGCGAAAGCCCATCTTAATAAGGCACCGATTCCAGCAACCTTAGCAGCAGAGAATAATCATACAACCTTCTAGCTACTCTTGCAGCATAAAATGAGAGGGATTTCACTGTGAAGAGATGCTACATATTAAATATTTAATACCCCCGGTCCTCAAACGAGAGTTTTTCCAATATTTTGAAATATCACCTTTTCTATTTAGATACTAATTGAACCTATGTGATTTTTGATGATACCAAATGTCCTTAGATAAAGTGATAAAGTAGCAGATTGCCCAGAAGAGAGGCGAATTCATCGACATCCCTTGTCCTCGTTGGAAGCTATTAGTTAATAGGTTGCCCGTTATTCGTGGCTTTTAGCCGCTTTCGCTTTTATCGCTTTGCTATCTCACGAATTGGATTCGAACCAATATCTCCGGGCTACTTTCCTTTTAGTAGATCGTGAGTGGGTCTGTCGTCCTCCTCATTATAGTCCTCCTAAAATCAATAGCATTTCGTCGGAATACATCCTGTCTTTTCACCTTAGTAGTCCTATGCATAGTCAGTACGATAGCCCCAATCATGGCTACTAATAAAATAAGACTAGGAAGCAAAAACCAGACGAAATAGTGGGTATAAAGTAAATTGCCCAATGTTTCCAAATTAGTCCAACTTCGTACCTTTCCGGCATAAACCGTATATCTCAGAGAGGTCGTATTTCTTTGGGTTGGTAGTAATGGAATGGTTTCATTATCTAAAATGAAGAACATTTCCCACCAAAGGATCAGTCCAATAATACCACTCACTGGTAAATAGCGCAATACTTCTTCGTGAATCTCCGCTATTTTAATATGGAACATCATAACAACGAATAGGAATGAAACGGCTATAGCTCCTATATGAACCACTGGGAAGATCATAGCGAAGAAGTCGAGACCTAACAAAAGAAGTAAACCTGAAGTGTCGCGAAAGACTGGGATGGGAAACAAAACGGAATGTACCGGATTTTTAGCACGTGCTACCATCAAACCAGAGACCAAAGCAGGGCTCGACAAAACAGAAAGTATCATGGTACCCTTAGTCCAAAAAAAACAGCCCTCCCTGAAATGGAACTCTCATGCTAGTTCTTGCTCCAGCATGAAAGTCGATCTATTTATTACGACCTGCGCGGTTGTTGACCAACGAACTACGTGGGAGAAAGAAAGATGCACAAACTGGAAAGAACTCATTTCTCAGGAGAAATATACCTAGACCGACCTGCTAATTCCATAAAGACCTAGCGAAGAGACTTTACTGAATGACTTGATCGATCGTACTAGATAGATAGTCTCAGATAGACAACCTTTCATACGCAATTCCTCGATGCCAATCTCGCACTTGACACGCAAAGCAATAAACAGCAGTCTATCTTCACAGAGAAAGAGAAGGAGAAAAGAAGCGAGAGACCATAGGGAAAGTTTTGTTAGTAACTCGAATGATAAGGAGAACAGTGAAGCTTACTTATAGTTAGACCCTCACGGCACACTTTTGACTTAAACCCTTCTCTAGTTTCAATGAAAAATACCTAACTACACACTTTCTATATCTCAATTGAACACTCAATCGCTTTTTGATCTCAATCTCATAAGTAAGCAAGCTACCTTGTCAATCAGCCTAAGCTACCTTGCTACATCTCTATACCAAGGATTATCGTTCGTTCCCACGTGGAAGGCTGTGCCTTCGTGTTCATGGTACTCCAGAGTTTAGCAGGCAAGTCGGAATTCGGTGATAGACTCGCTAAAGCAAGCTGTAAGTAAGTTTCAAGTCTGCCTTACGCTAGAAAGCTCACTACACGCCACGTCACTGCAAAGAAAGACAAGCTACGAACTACCGCTGCCCTTCCGTGCTCGTAGGTTGACTCCCCTATGCATCCGGTCTCACAAACGTGCACTTCCCTTATGCATCCAGCCGCTTCACTAATGTGAATAGGTTATACATAAGGGTGGGTTGGTTATATACTCTTATTATTATGCGCCTTCCTTCTTCGAACCTTTTGGTATGTATTGCCCCCTAAAGATCAGATCCACCAGACGAGAAAGTCAATTCCGCACTGCTGCTGAGTCGTCGGACTTATCCACCAAGGGATTCGTGGAATTTCTGTGGATTGTGTTGGCGGAAATCTACCAAAGCTAGGCAGATAGACCCCCTTTCCCGCTGCTAGAGGTTGTAACAATCCGAAGAATCCCCCCACTACTTCTTACCTTGCCACTCGCGTCGGAGTACCATTTCAGTAACTTTAGATTGGCGAAAGTTAAAGAAGTCCGTTTGGACTTCCCGAAAGTAGGGGCTATTGTTTCCTTCAGTTTGTAGACTCCGGAGGATTTCACCCATCTTTTCCCCTCCGTGCCTTTCCTCTAGCATCTCGGTGAGCCTCTCTGCCTGGAAGCCCCCTGGAACACGGGTGCGCAGGTCCCTGAACAGGTCAAGGATGCGCTCCGAAATTCTTTGGTGGTTCTCCAAAATTTCGGCAACAGATTCAAGAGCGGCCTGTTGACCAGCCGTCTCTTGAATAGGGGGCTGGCCCATGGGGGGGGTCCTCTCCCCTGGGGAGCGGTAAGGATCGGAGGGTCCAACCGAGGAAGGCCCGACGTCCTCTCTGGGATCTGTGCTCCCTCTTTTTCTAGAAGCGGGCTCGGCTTCGCTATGTTCCGGACCCTGACCCTGACCTTCAGAATCTGACGACAGGTTGAGGTACTTTTTCCAACTGCCCGACTCACTATTAGCCCCCGAATCTGACCCTGTGGGCATCATGCGAAGAGGACCCAATATTTCCGAGACTTCAACCTCCGTAATGAGGACCCTTGCCCCAAAACCTATGGACCAGGCAAGTCCCCCCGCGAGGCCAAATTTCCATAAAGCAAAGGAGAGGGCTCGAGCCCCCAGATTTAGGCCTAGCCTCCAAAAGACCGTCTGAAACGGTTCCATCCAACTCAGGATCATACACCCCAACAAATAGCACATTCCCCCCAAACAAATCGGTAAAATAAAGGATAAAGTAGCCCTACAACAAAAGGAAAATCTGCTTCTAGCCACACTATTGTTTTTTCCCCTTTTTTGATCTTGAGCGAAGAAAGCGGGCTTTGCCCCAGCTACCGCTATCCTTGGGAAAGCAAAAGAGCTACCGAAAGAAAGGGATGCAGTCTCTCCCTTGGCCTTTGGAGAGGAGAAGGCAGAGAAGAAAACGTCCTTCGCGCAAGTTTTTTTGCTTCCTGCGCCCTTACTCTTCAACCAAGGAGGCATTCTGGTAGGAAGGCCGACCACTACATAAGCCGCCATCAGTCCAGGAGAGAAGCAAGCTACCTTTCTTTGATCCACCTTCCCGGGCAGGGAAGAGCACGAAAATAGGCCGCGGATGGTGGTCGTGGTAGGTTCGAGGATCTTACGCGGCGGAGCTTCATTCCTCTCCCTATCGGTCGAGCCACTCCGTACCTCTATCGTGTTGCATTTCCTCTGGCGGCGTAGCTGTAGCTGCACCCCCTCGATCCATCGTACTGGAGCGATCCGAGAAGAACGATTAGGGTCATATTCTATCCTTTCTACAATGCCCATAGACGAAGTGCTTCGTTTCAGATCAATTCTTCGCTGTAATCGCTTCGATCCACCCCCTCGGTGAAAAACCGTAATACGCCCTGAAGAATTCCTACCAGCAGACTTCCCTGTACTCAAAGTGAATTGTCTAAGTGCTCTCCCCTCTTGGCTTTTTCTCATTGTCTATCTCGCGAATCTGTCCGAATTTGAGCTCCTACTCCTGCTCCTCCTTCATCCTCGTTAGTTGGTCCTTTTGACGCTTAGAAGAGTGAGAAATTCTGCCCCGGATTCCTTTTCTCTTGGGCATCTCTTCGTGTACTGATTCTTTTTGATCTTGTACTTGTACCAGCGGATGTGCGTACTAACGCACAACGTGCGGAGCAGCTCGCCCCTATCGAATAAGCTGGAGAGGGCTTGAGACGCCAGGGCTACTTTATTCGTAGCTGGAACAAGCAACGGCTTTCGCTAACGCTTAATCCGTTGCTTGTTGGGTCACTTCACTCTCCGTAGGGGGAAGAAGAGTGCTTTCCCGGGTAAGAATGAGGATTTGAGTTTTCCTTATCCCTCACCATAGCAGGAACCTCACTAACTTTATCAGCCCTTTCGGTGCGGCCACTAAGAAATTGCTTATACACTAAACAGCTGCTTATATACGCTTACTAAAAGACTGACTTTCATTCAATTAGGCCAGCGTGAAACTAAGAAAGAGAGATGTGCCTAAAGCGGCATGCAAGCAAACTGTGCACGCTAAGAGAAAAGGAGAGAAATTAGGGGAGGGGGAGACCCACAGAACGCCTGAACTCTTCATCCGTAAAGTGGCGATAGAATTCCCGGTAAAAGCTATGGTCCCGCTCTAAGTTGGTTACAAGAGAACGAAGAGAATTAAGGTTCTCCTCTATTAGAAAGCGGTTCGGGGGAAGGTCTAGAGAGTTCAGAAAGACAGGGGGGAACCTATCCTGAATGAAGTGATAGGCTTCCTTCCTTATATCAGAATAGGGGGAGAGTTCCAAAATGCGACCAATATTTTGCTCACTAAGTATTAGATTGGTCAGTCTATCCTGAAGGAGACCCTTCCGTTCTAACACTCTGAGTTCAAAATACTCTCGCTCATAAATGGTTTTGTAAAACTCCTGTCCCATGTCTCCAGCTCGAGACAAGTTCTCCCGCACTAGACTTTCATAATCCCCTTGATTATTCTGCGGAGGCAAATTAGAATAGTCTCGCGCTTCCAAAATCCGAATGCGTTGATAGATTTCATATGGATGATTCGCATACGGATTTGCGGTAAAAGAGTCGGAACTTGACGACGATTCCAGCGGTTCCAAGGCCGGAAGATTGGTGGAACTGTCAGCTCCGTTGTCGAAAAAGTCAAAAAACTCAAAGTCTAGAGGCTGAGAGCCTATAGTAGCTACTAATAAGTCCATTTGGACTATGTGAAATAACAACACTATGGTGTCTCTATAAATCAAAGAAAACCAAATTAAGAAAAAGGAAACTCTTAGTGTGCGAATCCAATTTGTGACTTGCCTATTCATGGGAGATTTTATTTATACCTTATACTAATATACTAATTTCTAGTATATAATTAAGAGTTTTTCCATTTCAATTAAGGGAGAATGCCACTAGAATTTTGTGTAGTGCTACTGCAATTATCTGAGGTTTTTCTCTTCCCGCGCACTCCATTCAGGAAGACGAGATATGCCTTGAGAGGGCATTCAGTTTCACTGCTCACATACGAGATTTTCTCCTGCCTTTTGACATCAAACTTGAAATGCAATCAATGCATTCATTCTTTTCGATCTCGGTAGACTGAACACCAACCCAATCTCGACAAAAGTCAAAGCTTCTCGGAGAAAGCTTTTTTTCTTTGTTTGTTGACGCAAGCCTCGAATCAAAATCCTTTCTACGCTACTTGATTCTCTTATGATATTTCTACTCAGCTTGAAAAGAAGCCTCAAGCTCTTATGTTCGAGAATTTCGAAAGAAGAGCGTAGAGTGATTGAACTCTCACTCACTGCACACTTTCTATATTATGGACAGTGACAGAACAGTTGGTGTGCTTTCTTTCTTGTCAGCCGTTTGGGTACCACTCCTCTTCTCTTGTCCTTTTATGAAGAGGAACGTATCTGATGACAATGCGGATAGGAACGTAAAGACTGACATTTCACCCTCTTTTAAGCTATTTCTATCAATTGATTTTCGACTTCCTTGATCGAACATGTAACAGAGGTGAACCAGGTTCGACTACTTTCAGGCTATATCACGGTGGACAGAATGAGGGGGACTCTTGGTCGATAGATTTTTGAATGCACAGGACAGGATAAACTCCTCTGAATGGCAAGCTTGAGTTTGAACCTGGTCTATCTCATTGGTTAGCCAGTCCCACAGACAGAAAGAAACAAAGATAAGAAAAAAGTCGATTCGGGCGAGGTCTTACAGACCTTTGCGAGAAGGTAAATTCAACGCCAACTCTGGCGCTATTCAGTCTAGTCAGCGAAGTAGAGTCTGTCAGGTCTGTTCGATTAGCCTAGCTTCCCATCCCTCTCCTCTAGCTCCTCAGCCGCTTTGAAATTTAGCTCTTCTGCTTCGTAAGCCCTACCCTTGTCGCGAAGGAAGGCCGCATCACAGCTCACTGGTTGGGGTGCTCCCAGTCCTGAATACTCAATCTAATGATCGCCCCTACACCTTGTTTTGTTGAGGATTCTGAGCCTTCGCTCGTCCCTGAGTCGTAAGCAATCTGATTCGCTAATTCTTTTCTTCCCGTAGTTTGAGCTCTTACCGGACCGAGAGCCAGTGCTTCGGCCTTCCTTTTCAGTCAGATCAGCTCCCCGGAGCGATGAAAGCCTTTCCAAATTCTTCGTATAGCCATTCCAACTTTTAACTTATTGTCATCTCGCAGCAAGCCTTTCTAATTGGGATACTTCCGGCGCTTGATTATACCATTTTTGAACATCTCGTTCCCCTGCTCGTCACTCAGGTCCATCATCAAATCCTGAAACTACTAGTTAGGCCCGGGTTAAGGAAAGATTTATATGTGAAATAGGAGCTCCCATCGGCCAAAGTGGTAGATTAGACCTCAGGTACTATCTTTTTAACATTTCCTGTTGTCTCGATCTCAGAAAGTCATTCTAGTTCCCACTCGTTGTGACCGGCGTTAGAGCGAGGTTGATCGCGCTCAGAAGTACAAAAGATAGTGGTAGGTATGGGACGGGGAATTCTCATAGTGGATCTAGGTTTCGTGAGCGGTTCTCACTCGTAATGATAAAAAGGGGCGAGTGTCGTGTATAGTCATGACCTCGCTGCTCTTTGGGTCTCTCGACCTGCCTGGTCTTGTTCCCTCTCTCATCGTCCTATTTCTGCTTTCCTCCACATCCACATCATGCCCTTTCCCAGGCGCCGAGGTTGCCTAGCCGTAATCCACAGGCTGGCTGACACCCGCCCGCTCGTTCGGCTGAGCGAGCAATGCGGCTTGCGGTGAAAGCCTTGCCGTAGGTGCGTACGTGAGTGAGTTTGTGAGAGCTAGTCTAGTTCATGTCTGTGGGACTAGGTGGCCCGGCTTGCGGAGGTCTTATATACATTTTGGCACTTGAGGAATAGAATCCGCTGCTTGAGTGAATGAAGTATGAGCCGTTAATGAATTTCCTGAAGCAAGGGATAAAGGGGAGGAGTTTCATACTGAAATAGATTCACCCGAAAAGGAAGCCTTGCATCCATTCCGCGAGGAGCGAATATATGATTATTGCGGTTTAAAGCACACTCTAATATCATAGTTAAGGACCGAACTCATCGGATCAGAAAGAGATGGCCAGTCCCTTCCTAATGCGAAAGAGCTTTATTCCGGTACTTCACACCCAAAGCAAAGCTGCACGGAATAGGGGCCTTACTTGTCCCGGTCCGGAAAGAGGGTAAGGTATGGGTCTTGGTTCCTCCTACATATCTTTATAGAAGGCATCCTAAGAACTAACCTTTACAAACCTCTTAGAGATGAGAGGCCTGTAGGAATTCATCATGCCCATGAGATATTTAGTCATCCCACCTAAAAGCACTCTTTCCAGATCAGTATGACAAGGGCAGCACCTATTGGAAAAACCTTGATCCAGAACCATAATTGGGTTATCCTAATCACCACCTCCCTTCCTTCTCGGGGATGTGCTACATCTTGGATGTAGGAGTGACGACCCCTGGTCCAATCTAGTAAAGAGATTGGGTGCCAGTGGTCTGTCTGAGGACGGGTTCAACAAGCTCTTTCTTTTCAAAGAAAAGATGGTTCCATGGATCGGGTTTTCATTTCAGAAGCTGCTAGAATGCATGTTAAGTCAGTCAAGAGGGGTCTTAGATCATGACGATTCTTAGGAAAAAAAGATGCTTTTTTCAGGACATATCTTAAAGTCCTAAAGGATTGAAAAGAAGAGTGAGCGACGAGTGGTTCAATCCGGAATGAGAGTGAGAGACCACTAGCGGAAAGAGTTTTCTAAAACACTAGGGTTTCTTGCATAAGATTTAGCGAGAAGTCCGAGTAATCAAAGGAGTCTGAGCGTCGGTTCGCTGCCCTAACCGTGCGATTTCAGGGCATCTTTTCAAGTATTCATCTAAACTAAATGCTGGTGTCGGGTATCATCTCGATCCATTGGCAGCAGAAAAGAGTGATAGCTAGCTTTATTCTAGAGGTTCTAAACTAGACTATATAAGTCTTCCTTCCAAGTAAGGATTGAAGATCATATGCTTACACTATATCCCTCAATCTCCCAAAAAAGAGGGTCTTTCCTGGCGACCTTACCTACACTCACTTGGTAATTGAGGAGTCAAATCATTCTTTTTCTCTGATGCCTTAATCCTTTTAGTGTATCGGCATTTCGGTTGTAGCAGTTGTAGCTCTTCCTCTTCTCTTGTAGCTTGAGTGCTTGTTGTTTAACTCGTTTCGATTCAAAAGCAATCCTGGGCTAAACCTGCTAGTGTACCTCCTGACTGTCCGCTGCATTCGAAATGAAATGGTAAGAATAGCTGTTCCGTTTTCGTCCCTGCGGGATTGGCCTTTCCTTATTACTTATTATAAAGTAGTTAGGAAGCCAAGTACGTTATCGGGGCATCTAAGACAATCAAAACAACCGCCCTAATGGGTTTTTTTCACCCATGGGCAGCTATAAAAGGCAAATCAACCCGAAAGGGAGGCCGAGAAGGAGGGTCGA